GTTGCTCCCGCACCTCGCTCAGCCAGTGAGCAGGACCCGGTCTGTACGTGGGATCCGAACCCTCAGCGGGAGCGCCACCACACTCCCAAGCGGCGCACTTGTAGCAGTGCGCCACCGGGCCGGCGGTCTGTACGTGGGATCCGAACCCTCGGCGGGAGCGCCACCACACTCCCAAGCGGCGCACTTGTAGCCATTTTTTGGCTAACTTGTAGCAGTGCGCCACCGGGCCGGCCCCTAATTGCCATTTTTATCACTGACCTGTATATAATAACTAACACTATGTTCTTGTTGGGGAGAATGGTTGACAAGTTTTAGCATTTTCATATTATTTCTAGGTTTAAATTATTGCAGAGAGCCAGGGATAATTCTAAATTACCCTTTATACTACATATCTTGCACAAGGCGGAGAATATGTGAAAATCAACTGTGTGGTGATAATTTACCTTCATTCACCTTTCATCTAGAAATGATAGGGTCACTAAAAGGTGTGATGCATTTGGGGAGCCGTAAAGAAAATGGACCAGATTCTTTGCAATATTGCACCTTTATTCAGTTAGATTACTGTGACAAAGATAAGTTACCGGTGACCAATAGAATGTCAATATGTAAGATAGGGTCTATGTCACCCACCCAGAAGCTTGCTTATGTTTACAGAAATAAGGAGAGAAGCCTAATGAGTTTTGGAAAATCCTGTGACTCTCATGACTTAGTCTCTGGGCCTCCTTTTTTCCCCTTATGATCCACTAAAGGTAAGGACATGTGAGCAAATCTAGGTGTTGGGCTTCTTCCTTTGATCCTTTGATTCATTTCTGGAGATTGATAAGCAGAAAAGGCCTTGGGCAGCCTGAAGATCTGTAAGAGTCAGACCCCGCACTTTACTATAAAAGCCTCTCAGACTCTTATGCAAGTATATTACAACTTTACTTATAGCCTTTACAAACTAGATCCACTTAAAACCAAGCAGCCAGATAGAAGGAAGGTTGTAGTTAGTACACAGTGGATAGAAAAGCCAAAGAAGGAACAAGATGAGAAGTCTAAAAAACATAAGCAAGGCAGAGAAATACAAAAAAGGAACACCTCCTAGAGCAAAAACCCAAGAAGCCCAGTAGACCAGTATACGTAGTATACATAGTAGACTGGAATATATAGAAGATTAGTGTTGGCAGAAACACTCATTTTACCAATAAGGAATTGTCCCAAGAGATGCAGTGACTTAATACCATTTAGTATAAAGTAAGATCAGTAATTGATGGTTTTAGGATTTTTATGACTAGCAGAAATAACTCTATTGTAAGAAGCAAATAGTCCCTGAATGGTAAGGTTATTATCCTTGAGCTCTCCCTAGGAGATAAAGACTCTAACTTTGAGGTAACATCAAGGACTTGGAGCTTACCAGACTCTCTGACACTGAAGTTTCCAACCATCATGGGACCCTGACATTTGACTCAGACCATCTGCTGCTACCAGATTCCCCTCTCCCCCTACTTTTCCTTCAGAACAAAGGCCCTTACCTCGTCTTCCTGCCTCTTCCCCTTTATAAACCCCAGAACAGGCATCAGAAGTTGGGATGATTTTAGCCTGGTCATCCCCCAGATGCCGGTTATCTGAATAAACCTTCTAACCCTTGCACCAGCTTCTGGACTTTTGAGCCATTTGTTTAATGCGAGAGGGCAAGCAGAGCCTGGGATGGTGGTAACAGTGAGGCCAACAGTAAATCAAGGTAGACCCTAGATTTCCTAACAACTCTGCCCATACATAATATCTTCATAATGTTCATAATGAAAATAATGAATGAGATACTGTTTGTTTGTTTTTTTTTGTTTTTTTGTTATTATTTTTATTTTGTCCATATACAATGTAGTTGATTATTGTGTCCCATCACCGAAACCTCCCTCCCTCCTCCCTCTCCCCCCTTCCCACCCAGGTGTGTCCCCTCCATTTTCTTGTTGTAAGAGCTTCAAAAAAAAATTGTGGTTGTTATATCTTCCTCCCCCCCCCCCCGGTTTTTTTTTTGTTGTTGTTTTTTTTTTAAAAAAAAAAATTTTTTTTTTT